GGCTCATCGTTGACACCCCGTAACTACAGCTTCAGCATTATGAGCCCGCTGAACTCAGCATCAGCCTGGGGTCCGCCAGGGGCCTTTCTCGGGGGAGCAAGCGCTACTCAGACTGTTTGAGGGGTAAAGAGTCACACCATCTATTTCCATTCTTAACACTCCCCCCCCGCAACAGCCTGACCTGGGCTGTGTTTGAATCAGGATCCAAATAAGGTCCGCACTGTGAAGGTTTAATTTAATATATAGACTCTGATACATAGGTTTCCCCTCCGCTTCTCTCTGCCTCTGTCCCCCTCCATTCACTGTTGTCTCTTCGTGTGTGTCTCTCTCTCTGTCTCTCAGTCTCTCCTCTGCCCTCTTTGTTGCATTACACTGTATTTATTGAAGAAACAGGGTTGTTTGTCTTGGAGAGAGTCCCACCGTCCTGAGAGTCTATTACTAAGTGATGTTTATGTGTATTAATATACAGAAGTCCAAAAGCCCTTGGGCTGTCTGGCCTTGTCAAGCTCAGGGCTGCGGGCAGCAGGGCCACTCATCCTCAGCAGTGGACTGTCCTGTGCCCTGTAGGACATTGAACAGCATTCTTGACGTCCCCTCTGGGAGGTCGCTGACGTGTAGGTGTTTGTTGGAGGGCCTCCTGGGTCAGCACCGTAGGGGGAAGAGGGCGGCTTGGCCGCCCCTACCCCCACCCCCAGGGAGCTGTGGCGCTGGAGTGGCCCTTGTAATTGACCCCAGCTTAGCTGAGATGGCTGGGATTTTATGCACCAGCGTTGGTAGGTCACTGAGCCCGGGACACCTGGGAAGGGCCTGACCTGGGTGCAGCTCGCTTTAAGGGGCGACCGCTAAGCTGTCTACTGACAGCACTGCCAGTCATCAGGACGCATCCACTTTGAGGGGGTCTGGGCAGCCCAGCAGGTCACCGGAGTGAAAGGATGTGCGTGTGAATGATGGGTATGTGTCTGAGGTGTCAGTGAGGGTGGCTGCAGGGCCACGAGTGCCCGGGAAGAGGCCCGGGGAGAGGCCTGGGGAGACGAGGCTAGTTCTTTCGCTCCTGCTCTGAGCCCCTCCTGAGCTGGAGCTCACACAGAGGTGGGTCTGCAGAGGTTAACAGGTATAGTCACTGAGCCCAGGGCCATGGGAGCAGCGCAGGTGACAGGGGGCATCGTTTGTCTTAGAGAACTTCACAACAAAGCAACTAAAAGGCCATCTGCTTTTTAATATGTAACAGTCTCATTGCTGTATAATCCACATACCGTAGAGTTCACCCGGGTAAAGTGTACAATTCAGTGTTTTTAGTACATTCACAGATTGTGCAACCGTCATTACTACCTGATCCCAGTACATTTTCACCAACTCAGAAGGAAACTCCTTTCCGGCAATCTCTCCCCATTTTGCTCAAGTCCCCACCCCTAAGCATCCGCTGATCTGCTTTCTGTCTCCAGGGAGTTGCCTGTTTGGGGCATTTCCTGTAGGTGGAATCATACAACGTGTGGTTTTTCGTGACTGGCTTCTTTCACTGGACGTAATGTTGTCAAGGTTCATTTGTGTTGTACTTCATTCTTTTTTAAGGCTGAATAATACTCCAGTGTATGAATAGACCATATATACTGATCCATTCATCCGTTGATGGATATTTGGGTTGTTTCCACTTGGGCTATTATGAAGAAAGCTGCTCGGAACACTTGTGGACACGATTTTGTGTGGATGGGTGTTCTCAATTCTCTTGAGTTGATATGTGGGAGTGGAATCACTGGGTCATATGATGACTGTATGTTTAGCATCTTGAGGAGCTGCTGGACTGTTTTCCAAAGCGGCTGCCCCATTTTGCATTCCCGTCAGCAGTGTGTGAGGGCTCCAGTTTCTCTGCCTCCTCACCAGTACTTACTGCTCTTGTTTTGATTCTAGCCGTCCTCCTCGGGGGTAGGAGATGCTATCTCACTGTGGTTCTGATTTACATTTCCCTAATGACTAACGGCGTTAAGTATCTTTTCATGTGCTTGTTGGCCATTTTTATGTCTTTCTTGGAGAGCTGTCTATTCCAGTCCTTTGCCCATTTAAAAATTAGGTTATTTGTCTTTTTATTGTTGAATTGTAAGAATTCTTAATTCTGCCTGGATACAGATCCCTCATCAAATATGTGAGTCGCACCTAATTTCTCCCATTCTGTGAGCTGTCTTTTCTCTTTCTGATGGTCTCCTTTGGTGTGCAAAAGGTTTTCATTTTGCTAGAGTCCAGTTTCCTTGTTTCTTTTGTTGCTTGTCCTTCTGGTGTCATTTCTGAGGCCCACTACCTAACCTAAGGTTATGAAGATTCCCCCTATGTTTTATTCTAAGGGTTTTATAATTTCAGCTCTTGTATGTAGGTCTTTGATTTATTTCAAGTATATGGTGTGAGGTAAGGGTCCAACTTCATTCTTTTACATGTGGATGTTTAGTTGTCCCAGCCCCATTTATTGAAAAGACAGTCTTCTTCCATTGAGTGATCTTGGCCCCTGTCAAAAACCAGTTGACTGTAGATATGAGGGTTTATTTCTGAACTCCCCATTCTCTTCCACTGATCTCTGAGTCTGTCCTCAGGCCAGAACCACACAGTCTTGTGGACTACAGGTTTGTAGAAAGTTTTGAAATCAGGCAGGTGTCCAGTCCTCCAACTTTGTTCTTCTTTTTCAAGATTGTCTTGGAATTTTCCAGATAAATTTTGCATTTCCATATGCAGTTTAGGATCTGCTTGTCAGTTTTTGAGTTGCTTTTTATTCCAAACAAATGATAAAATCTTTCTTCTACCACCATGCCCTACTGGGGTCCTAAGAGAGTGGACTGAAGAGCTAAGTGTCTGGGTTGAAGCCCTGGCCCCACTGCTTACTAGCTGTGGGACCTTGAGCAAGTTGCTGGACCTCTCTGTGTTTCACTCATTTCAGGTGTGTAATATGGGTGATGAATGTCCCTACCTCATGGGGTTGCCGTGAGGATGAAATAAGCAAATACAGGTGAAAGACTTGATTGTATATAATAAGTGCTCAGTAAACATTAGCTGCTGTGATAGGCGCGTGTTGCTTTTTTAAGCCTTGCAACAGTTCCAGAAGGTGGAGGTTCTCAGCCCCACTAGGCACAGGATGCTCCTGGGGACTTTAAAACATGCTCTTACCAGAAATTTTGATTTGATGTGTTCAGGGTGCAGCCTGGGAATCAGTTGTAGTTTTTCTTTTTCTCCCAGGTAATTTTGTGTTTTTCTCTCTCTTTAAAAAAAAAACTTTAAATTTCTTTTTTGGGAAGGAGGTAATTAGGTTGGTTGGTTGGTTGATTGGTTTATAATGGAGGTACTTGGGACTGAACTCAGGATCTCGTACATGCTAAGATAAGCATGTGCTCTACCACTGAGCTGTTTCACTCCCCACACCAGGTAATTTTAAAGGAGGTGGACTAAGGACCTTTGTTAGATTGAACACAATCATCTCCACTTGGCTGGTGAAGCACCTGGTGTGCACCCTCCGACCAGTCACATTCACGGATCCAGGGGGACACATCCTGCCCCCAGGCTTCACTGTGCAGCAGGCACATGCCGTGAGGAGGCTGAGTGTGGCTAAAGGGCAGGTTGTTGGCATGACATGACATGTGACATGAAATACAAATACTCTTATGAGCAATGGTTCAAAAAGCAAGCTCCCAGGGGTGGGTGGCACGAGGGGACCATGGGGTGCGAAGCCACCCAGGAAGCAGTGATGAATCAGTACTCACCCCATCTCCATCCCAGGACTGCTCAGAGGCCTAATGAGCTCAGCAGTGAGGATATGACTGTAATTTCCTGTGGCTACTGCCACAAAATCCCACCAATGCTGTGGCTTGGACCAACACAGATACCTTGTCTTGTTTGTCTGGTGGTCAGTCGCCCTGATGTGAAGGCGAGAAAGGGGCTTCGTTCATTCTGGAGGCTCTAGAGGAGATGGCCTCTCTGCCTTTCCAGCCTTCCAGAACCTACACCAGTCCTTGGCTCATGGCCTCTTCCCCCATCTTCAGAGCCAACAACGTCATCTTGCAGTTCCTTTCTCTCTGACCCTGCTTCTACTGTCCCATCTCCTCTGACCCTGACCCCCACCTCCCTCTTCTGAGGACCCCTGTGATGCCTCCTGGATAGTCCAGGATCATCTCCTGTCTCAGGAGCCCACTTTGATTATCCCTGCAAAGTCCCTTTGCCATGTTAAGATCACATATTCCCAGGTTTGAGGGATGAGGGTGTGGACATCTTTGGAGCTGTTATTCTGGTGACCGTGATGACAGTAGTTAACATTTACTGATTCCTTCTGACCCACCGGGCACTGTGCTTTTTGTACCAACCACATGGCTACCCTTGGAGAGCTAGGGGTCCCATCTCATCAGTGGGGCACCAGAGGACAGCAGAGGCAGGACCAGGACTCCCACTGGCTCTCTTGACCACGCCATGCGCATCTTCCCTGTGGGAGCGGCTGGGGCCACGTCCGGGACCCAGGAGGTTTCAGTCAACATTGGAGGTGGAGGAGCTATCATAATTGATCACAATTAGCACTAAATGAACTGGGCTGACAATTGGTGCTGAGATGGTGAGAGGAGTGACAGTCTCCCAAAGGCCTCAGTCAGGTCTGGAACACTGGGTGTCTGAGAGGAGCCTAGCTGGGGAGGAGGCTCCTATTGGTGGAGAGGCCTGAGAGAGCCCTGAATGCCGAGTTTGTGTGTCTAGACTTGATTCCTTAGGCAATGGGGAGCCATAGAAGGTGAGTGAGCAGAGGAGGAACATGAGAAAGAGGGTGTTAGGAAGGCTGCCCCTCGCAGGCTTAAATGCCCATCACCCTCACCCAGGGCAGCTTTTCTGTCCCCTTCTCAGGCCCATGGAGTTCCCAGGGGCCACCTGGCCTAGTCCCTCTGGAAAGCACCAGGGCCACCGGCACCTCTTTCCTGTGCCCAGGGCCCCTCGGTGGCCGGAAGCAATGCATTGTAATGCTGGCCTCCAGGGTTTCCTGCAGCAGCCCAGGGCCTGGACGGGTCTTTGTGAAAACCCTCCCCAGAGAGCCCCGTGCTGCTTGGCCAGGGTCAGGCCCAGGGGCGGCGGGAGGGGAGTTTGCTCTGGGGCCTTGGGGAGAGAGTCTCACAGGAAGTGGATGCTCTCTGCTTACTGGGCTGAGGGGGCCTTTGCAGCCCGTCCACCAGCCTCCTGGCTCTGGGTGTGGGTCACCTCCTAGCCTCCCCTGACCCGGTGGTGGTGGCTGCCAGCTCGTGACCCCCAGCTGGCCGTGGTCGCCTCCATTCAACAGAAATGTCATCTGCGATGTCAGGGACCTTCGTGGAGGCCGTGTCCTGCTCCTTGTCAGCCGCACTTCCACCTCCCACGGGCTGGGGCATGATCCCCTCCACTGGAGACGTTGGGGGTGAGCTGTCAAAGGTCACCCTCGACCCCCCCTCCCCCGTCCCCTCCCGTGACAGCTAGATCTTGTCACTCTTGGCCTCTAACCAGCCTTTGGCTGAGGCAGAGACACACAGGCCAAAACAGAATTTTATTTATACAAATAGTGTCCACCCAGTGCTGAGCAGACAGAGGGCGCTCAGTAAATTGGTGTCAGGGGGCCAGGGAGGACAGTGTTGGAAGGGAGGACACCCTGCTGCCCAGCCCAGCCAGGGGCAAGGAGCCTCCCACCCTGACTATGGCCTGCCACCTCTCCAGAAGGCTCTGCAGTTCGAGGCCACAGTACCCAGAGGCACAGCCTGGCCCGAGGCAGCCTCCAAACCCAGCCAAGGTCACATCGCACTTCCTGTCATTGACTCCTGAGGCCAGGATGTGTTCCCCGCGGCCTGGATCCAGTCGGCCCCAGATTGCAAGGGGTTGGGGCGGGGCCTGGGCTGCAGCTGGGTGTCAGGGACCTGATTCCTGCCCTGGGGTGGCTGGAGGATCCTTTCTCTGAGCCCCCTAGTCTCTTTGGTCCCTCTGTCCCTGCACCTGGAGCACCTTGTCCCCACTCTGCCCATCCACACCCGGCCAGGCTGGGAAACTGAGCTGCCCCTGGGATCCTTGTTACTGCAGAGCCAAGGACAGATCAGGATGTTTCCATCCACCTACAAAATCCTCCTGAACCCTGCTGCCTTCCTGCGGACCACAGCGATACGCCACGGGGGAAACAAGACAGAGCTGGCTGGAAGTCTGGATGCATGATTTTGAGCTCCGTGACCTCACCTAGAAAGTGTCCTTCCCCCTGAGAGCTGACACCACTCAGCTATGGGTCTCCCCTGGCCCTCAGGCAGGCTGCAAGGAGGAAAGGGCTTCCGAGGGCTTGTTTTCCACTGCCAGAGAAATCGACTACCTCCCTAGCCTGTGGATCGGGTCACCTTGGTGGCCACTGAACAGTCAAGGGAGTGGAGTGCTGCTGTTAACTGAGCAGCTACTGTGTGCCAGCCTGTGCGGGGCCAGCACACTGGGCGTCTCGTTCAGCCATCAGTGTCCAGAGAGGCAAGTGCTGTTATTGCCACATTACCGGTGAAACACCCAGACTTAGGGAGGGGTCGTGACCCATTCAAGATCACCCAGCTGGTCAGGAGGGCCTGGAAGCAAGGACATCGGTCTTCACCTTCTGTGAGGGCTCTGTGGATCCTTCTCCTCAGTGTAGGCACAGTGCTGGCCTCAAGAAGATTCTAGGAAAAAAGCTGAGCAATAAAGGAAATGATTTCCAAGTGTGGGGCATGTCATGTGAGCAGACCTCTGATGGACAATCAGGGAGCACTTCTTGGAAGAGGTGACATCCTCATTTCCGCCTTGCTGAGCCCTGAGAACAGGCAGAGCTTTGCATCGAGAGGGGACGAGCGCTCCAGGAGCTGCTTGGGCAAACGCTCTGCCGAGAGGCTGAAATAGGCCACCGCCTGGAGTGCGGTGATGAGGAAGGGGAGGGCAGACCCCCCGGGGGCCAGGAGGGTAGCTAGACCATGTGTGCTGTGGCTGAAGCCACACCACGCTGGGTGCTGTGGGACAAAGATGCCTAAATCAGGTTTCCTGCCTTTGAGGAAATTCCAATTAGATTTGAGGTGAGATGCAGAAGCGTGATAAGGTGACTAACAATGGCAGGCAGGCGAGGAAAGTGAGCAGGACCAGACAGAGAGGGTGCAGGAGCCCAGGGCAGGCGAGGCCCTGCCTGAACCGGGTGGAGGTGGGGAAGGCATGGGCAGGACCCCGACAGCAAGAGGGGATGTCCAGGGCATCGTGGGAATTTCTTGTGGCCACTGAAACAAATGACCACAAATGTGTTGGCTTAAAACATCACAGGTTTTTCTGTTACTGCTTTACAAGTCAGAAATCTGACGTTGTGGTCTCCCTGGGCTAAAATCAAAGTGTCAGCAGAGCTGGTTCCTTCTGGGCGCTACAAGGGAAATCTGTTTCTCTACCTCTCCCGGCTTCTCAAGGCCACCACATTTCTTGGCTCGTGGCTCCTTCCTCTGTCTTCAAAGCCAACAGTACAGCGTCTTCACATTTCTCTCTCTGGTTCTGACTCTCCTGCCTCCCTCTTCTAAGGACCTTGTGATTACGTGGGGGCCACCCAGATAATCCAGGACAGTCTCCCCATCTCAAGGTCCTTCTCTTCATCCATCTGCTAAGTCCCCTTTGCCATCTAAGGTCACGTATTCACAGGTTTCAGGGAGCAGGACGTGGACACCTTGGGGGTTGTTATTCAGCTGACTGCAGGTCAATATCTAGGTGGACTTTTGGGGGCTAGGCATCCAGGACCCCAGGGTCAAGGTGGGCGACAGGACTGAGCTGCTCCCTAAAGGGGCTGGAGAGGGCTGAGGAGCCTCAGAGAATTGCCGCGGATGTGACTGTTATATGCAGCCTGCACCGACAGCTGAGGTTGGTGGGGGTGGGGAAGCCCTGGCTTGGTCTCTTGCCAGTTGTGTGACCTGGGACAGGTCACGCTACCTTCTGAGCTTCAGTCTTTGCAGATGAAGAGCAGGGGGCATGAGAGGGTGAGGGGAGTGCAGTGGGATTGCTGACACAGTGCCCAGCACGCAGGAGATGGTTAGCCTGCAGGGGCAGCTGACCCCGCGGGCCTCCTGTGCAGGCCCTGAGGAGACTGTGCCATGGGAGAGTGCTGGCCAGGCCGCACCTGGGTGAATGGTCCGTCCCAGGACCGTCTCACAAGCTGAGAAGGTAAAGGGTGTCCCAGGAAGAACAACTCTGGGGAGCAGTAGGTGCTTAATGGTTGTGTGTAGGATGAATGAACAAGTGAGGCAGGGGGCACCAGTGTCGGGACCTTGGTCCAGGCAGGGGAGAGGGCCTCAGAGGGGAGAGGTGAGGGCCGCTGAGCTCTGCCCGGGGACGGAGCCGCCGGCCAGGGCCCAGGGTGGGCAGAGGCCTGGAGCTCAGCTCAGAGGCCCTCCTCTCCCGGAAGTGCCCCTTCCACCGTAAGAGCCCTTTGACCTGATGAACGGCCTGAGTGAACCCGACTTGGGAGGGGCAGCCGCAGAGCCCGCAGACCTGGTCAGTGACTGCCAGGCGGGTCCTCCCACCCCAGGGCCACTGTGCAGGGGACAGTCCCAGGTGTGGTCAGGCTGGCCTCCTGGTGGGGGGCACATGACCAGGGCCATCAAACCCCCAGGAGAGGTGTGACTAAGTGCAGGACAGTAGCTGCAGTGAGAGATGAGTGGAGAGGGTGCTGCCCTCCTGCTCGGGACCCCGGGAGTCCTCACAGAACAGCCCTCAAGGGAGACCCATGAGCCACCCAGAGTCGCCACGGGCCCAGTTCTTGCCACATGCACCCGCATACCTGGACAGGCTGAGATTCACACCCGAGGGACCTGTGCGTTGACAGAGCACCTGCTGTGAGTCCTGCCTCTTTGTGTGCTACTGAGTGACCCTTCACCTCTTTGTGCCTCAGTTTCCCCACTTGCCAAGTCAGGGGAGAACACTACCTACCTCATAGGATTGTGATGGTGATTAAATGAGTCAGCCTGTGGGACACCCTTAGAAGTGGCCCCTCCCTGGGGCCTGGCAGAGCCTCTGTGAGCGCCCACTGTTCTTTTTCTGTTGGCACAGCTTGCTGGTCCTCTCTGTAATGCATGGAGCATGGAGTGGAAGGCGGGAGGCAGACGTCATAGTGATGGGGACAGCTGTTTGGGGCTGGCCGAGGACGGCCAGATGGGGGCTGTGCCTGCTGGTTGGCTGGGGTGGATCCAGGACACCCCAGCCTCGGCCAGACTAAGAAGATGGACTGCCTCTATCCCCAGGATCTGTAATTCTCAGAAGGACCAGCTGGCGCTTCCTCTGAACACTCCCCACGGGGTGTCAGCTCATTTACTCTGCCTGTGACTTGGTGTGGGAAGCACCATCCTTACTCCACTGTACAGTTGGAGAGAGTGAGGCGCAGAAGCAGGGGGGAATTTATGATGTCACTCAATTTGTACGGGATTTGAACCCCAGTCCCCTGACTATAGAGTCCTTCCTTTTTGTCAATTTCCAAACTGCCTCTCTGGGGCACTAGGGAGCCACAGATGGCTTGAGGGCAGGGTAGTGATGTGAACAAAGTGGAGTTTTGGCAGACTGGGTGTGGAGCAGCCTGCTGATGGGCTGGCTGGGGGACCTGGGTTTGTGCGTGGAGTAGGGAGAAGGGGGAGAGCCTCTAGGAGACACTGTCCTGCAATCAGGCAGGAAGTGGTGTGATGGCCCAGGGGAGGGGTCAGCGAGGCTGGGACACAGCCAGGAGCCAGGTCTCAGGAGAATTTCAAGATGGAGGATGAGATGTGCCCATGCCACTGAGGGCTAGGGGTGAGAGGCCAGTGGCTCAGGCCACTGGAGACGTTTGGCTACCTGAGGACGGAGACCCACCCAGGCAGCTGCAAGTGGGTCTCCCTGGCTTATTTTTGCTGCATTTTCCTTACCTCCTCTTTCCCTTCCAGTCAGAGCTGACTTGGAGTCCCTGGGAACACCCTAGTGGCTAGGCCTCCCAGAGGGCCTTCTACCTGGTCACTAGGGACCCCAGTGGACTACATCCTGCCCCTTGCCGGGAGCCCAGGCTCTTAGGGATACAGTGTGGCCTCCCTTCCCCCTAGATCTATTAAAATCTGGCCTGAAAGTCAGGGAGAGGCAGGTCCTCACTCTGCAAAGATGGCCAAGGGCACATCTGCCTGCATGGAGGTCCCAGGACGAGTGTCCTGGGATGCTGGCCTGCTGACCGACCATGCTGTGTTCTCACCTGGCCCCGAGGGCTCGGAAGTCTGCTAGCCTGGTGGCTGACCTCGGGCAGTTTCCTTAACCTCTCTTGATCTCTTTCTCTGTAAACATGGGGAAATTAATAACAATAAATGTTAAAAGATTCCCTTCTGATGGGATTGTTTTGAAGATTTCTTGAAGAATAATGAAGGTCAGAGTAGCAGCTGCAAACAGGCTCATTACCATTCCACCCCCACTGGCAGGGCTTTACCTGGGGAGCTGGGGAGATCATGACATAAATCTAGCCTTTCATGAATTGAAGACTGTTTGTTGAGCACCTACTGTGTGCCAGGCAGTGTTCCAGGCATGGGGGAGAGAGCCACATCTGTGAATAAGTGGACAGAACCCCCAAGCATCTCCAGCTTTCAGTCTGGGGATTGTGAGCCCAGCCCTGGGCTCAGTCCTTCCACGTAGTATCTCATTCCCCTTCACAGAAATCCTGCAAAGAAGCACAATCATAATCAGGCTAACTGCCCCCCCCCCTTAAAAATGGAAGCAAAACACACATCACATAAAATTTACCAATCTAACCATGTTCAAGTGTACAATTCAGTGGCCTTTAGTATAGTCACAAGGTTGTACAACCCTGACCTCTAATTTCAGAACATTTCATTACCCCAGAAGGAGACCCCATACCCATTCGCAGTCGCTCCTGAGCTCCCCTCCCCAGCCCTGAGCAGCCATTAATCTCCTTTCCGTCCCTCTGTGTTTTTTCTGTAAATATCCGGGACGTTTCTTATGAATCCTCCGTTTCGTAGCCCTTTGTGTCTGGTTGCTTTCACTCTGCGTGGTGCTTCTTGGTGGTTTATCCCCATGATAGCCTGTGTCAGGACCTCATTCCTCTTTAAGGCTGAATATAACTCCAGTGTGTGGACGGACCGCATTTTGTTAATTCAGTCATCTGTTGATGGATATATGGGTTATTTCTACTTTTTTTTAATCCTCATTTAAATACAAGGGAAGTGGGACCAAACCAGCTACTGGCTCAACACCTGCCTGGGACGCAGCAAAGACCCTATCTAAGAGGAGGGGGAACCCATTTGCACACCAAGAGCTGCTCGTCCGCAGCAGCTGTGTTCACAGTAACCCAATGCTGGAAACCATTCACGTGTCCATCGACAGGGGACGGGTGCACAAACGGGTGTCATTGGACACTGGAACACCTTCCATTAGTATGAAAGGAGGAGGGACCCATGCATGTGGCAACTTGGAAGACCCTCAAACACTTCCTGGGCATGAGAACACGCTGTGTGGCTCCATTCGTCTGAAAGCCTAGGAAAGGCAACTCACAGTGACAGAGCACACACCGTGGTTTTCAGGGGGTCGGGATGGGGGCCGGCTGGGAAGGGGCACTAGGGAGGGTTTTCGGGGTGATGGAGATGTTGATTATTTTGATCTGAGTGTTGCTACTCGGATGTTTATATGTGCCAAACTTACTTTCATGGATGCATTTCATTATATGAGCTGTGCCTCTGTAAAGGCGGTTTGAGAAAAGAGCTGTGTGTCCCGGCCTCTCCCACCTGCTGTCCTCCGTGCCCCTGCTCTCTGGACCACACAGCCTGGGTCCCTTTGTTCGCACGGTCCCTGAGTTTGTAGCATCTTTGAGCTCACCGGTACTTGGCACACAGGAGGCCTGCTGAAAAGTGTGGCTGTAGGCTGACTGAGGTCTGTGGACTTCCCACCGGGTGCCATGACTCTGCCTGGATGCGGGCAGAGCCCAGGACTGGGAGGACTCTGTTCAGAGCCCAAGCCCAGGGCCACGTGGCTCACTACTGTCCCCCTAGGACTGAAGGCCAGGTCCTCATCTGGACCCCGCAGTTCTGGCTGCCAGCTCTCTCTGCCCTGGTGGTGGGGACACATGTACCTGGTGGGACATCGTCTACCCAGGGCACCCACCGAGGTTCCTCGCTTTTCTACTGCACTCTGCAGCCCTCCTCTAGTCTCCACCCTCTACCTCACAGCTGACGGAACCCAGGCTCAGAGCGGTGATGTCCATGACCCGGGTCTCGAGGAGGGATGGGGGTAGACCCAGGACTCAAATGCAGGCTGCCGCCAGCTGGCCCCTGTGTATCTGCCGCTCCCTCATTGCTGGAAGCATTGGCCCTGAGCCGTCTGGCTGGGTCAGGACATAGGACACTGATGTTGGCACATGAGGTGCTGGGTGTCTGGGGCCCCGTGTGTTCTGGGTCACTGCTGGAAGTCAGCCCCAGTGTCTGCTGGTCTGCTCCAGCTGCTCCACTAGGAAGCAGCTGATTTGGGGTGATGAGGCTGGCAGGCTGAGAGGGCCTTGGGGGGCTCTGTGTCTCTGACTCTACCTTTGTGTCTCTCTGTGTGCAGGGTCTTCTGTACGTGTCTATGTGTGCACGTCTCTCTGTCTCCTTCTGTCCCTGTCCCTCTCTGCCTCTGCGTCTATCTTCGTATCTCTGTGTTTGCCTTTATATCTCTGCCTCTGTCTCTCTCTCTCTCTGTATCTGTCTCTGTGTCTCTCTATCTCTGTCTCTCTCTGTCTTTCTTTATGTATCTCTGTCTCTGTCTCTGCCTCTCTGTATCACTATCTCTCAGACTCTCTGTCTCTGTCTCTCTCTGATGTTTCTGTCTCTGCATGGTCGGAATCACCACGTCCCCTCCTGCTTCTGCTCCGGTGGGAAGAAAACCCTTCTCAGGGCGGGGACTTGAGGGAGGGGGACAGGCCCGCCCTGACCTGGCACAGCTCCTTCCCAGGCCTGCTCTGGCGCCTCTGGGCCGTCGGGAAGAGGCATTCAGCCCAGGGAGGCCAGGGCCTGGCAGGCAGGCCTTTCCTGGGACAGGACCGCCCGCTCCCCGCCCACTGCAGCTGGCTGGCTTTCCTCTTTACGCCTGTAGGATAAATTCCCTCTCGCTGGGTCTCTGGGGCCCTGAGCGCTTGCGGGGGAAGGACCTGCCTGCTGCCCTCCATGCAAGCACCCCCAGCCGGCAGACCTGGGGTTCTGAGGGAGGGGAGGAGAGTGAGGACTGGGCCTCCCCCCTCGATGCTGCCTTGTCCTCCCGTGCCCTCCTGGGACCCTACTGGTCACACCCCGGCCATCCTCCCACACCGCTGTCTGCACTGCTTGGCTCCTGTTTGGATGAGCTGCTAGGTAGCGTCTGACAGCTTTGAGGGGTGAGGCCATTGGCAGGACCCCGAGGTCAGAGCAGTCAGGACAGGGCTGGCCTGAGCTGCACTACAGCCCACCCAGAACAGCTATCTGTTCCGAATACAGAGCCCAGTGGGCTAAACATGGCTTTGGGATCCACCAATGTGGGTTCACAGCCCATCTCCCCAGTGTCAGGTCTACATATCTCCAAGTTCAAGGTCACCATCTCCCAGGAAAGCTGAGATACAGACAGGGCCCCCAGCCGCATGGACATCAGCTCCTCATTTCCCACCTACCACCCTGATGGGAAAGGCCAGCTCTGCCCTTAATGAGGACAACACATGCTCACAGCCTTTCAGTGGATCTTCACAAAGTGTCCTTCCAACTGTATTCATGAAAACCCACCTGTACTGACAAGCCCCCACATGGCCCAGCTCCATCCCAGGCTCCTAAGATTCCGTCAGGGGCAGGCAGTGCCCATCCTGGAACGGGAACTCTCCACGAGTGCCATTAGGCCAGTGCAGGAGAGGTACCTGGCCTGCGGGAGGAAAGGTGTCAGGCAGTGCCGGCGGCGTGGAAGAGGGTGCCTGTTAGAGAGCAGGGGTAGCGCAGGGGAGAACACACTGTAACTGTGGCTCCTGCTGGCTTACTGGGTCCCCCTCCCTGCCCCTGATGGATCAGAAGCTGTGTGTGTCTCCCGGGCCTCCGCCTGCAGGCTGGCACGGGGCACCACACACCAGGGTCCCAGCAGCTGGGAGTGTGACAGCTGGGCCCCACCCTGGGGACAGATTCCAGCATGTTCCCTTCCAGGGTGGAGGCAGATTCAGTGAGGAGGAAGGAGGGGGCCCTAGGAGGGCCAGTGGTGGGGCAGCTGGGGAGCCAAGTCCAGGCTTGCCCTGGGCAGGCTGGCAAACGACTTGCCATGCCCCGCCCCACCCCTCATGTGAAAGGGCTGTTGATACTGACCACACAAGGTCACGTGAGACTAAAACAAAAGCATGTGAGGCTAAAGTCGAATGAAGGGATTGGATCCACGGTGCGTTGTGCGCTACCTCCTTCCACACGTCAGCTCTGAGAGGTCATTATTACTCTCACTTCACAGGTGAGGGAGTTAAGGCTCAGGGAGCTTCAGGCTGTCTCTCAGGGTCTTGGCCACACAGCTGGGAAGTGCTTGCATTTTAAAAGTTTTGGCGTCTATATGACTTGTCTCCTCAATGGGTTTACAGGCTCCCCAAGGCCCTATTTCTGCACCTGGCAGGGAGCCGGCTGGACAGTTAGAAATCGATGAGTCAATCAATGAATGTTAAGCTGTGTGGCCCCAGGCCAGCTCCTTCACCTCTCTGGGTCTGCATTTCGATACCTGTCAGGTAATGGGTGGGTGCATCCAGTTCTAAAAAGCTTTTAGATCAAACTCCAGGGACCCAGGGATGAGAAGGGCAGGGTCGGGCCTGAGCACAGGGACTTTCCAAGGTCCCTGGTCATTTTTAGCTTTGCTCCCAGTGGACAAGTGACCCTGCTCTGTCCTCGGCCCGGCCCGCTCTCGGCGAGTTCTTTTTCTGGCTGTATGAACTCAGGCCGTGTGCAGAGCCAGAGTTAAACTCAAGAGGGCCGGACACGTGGCCTGGGCAGGGAGCCGGAGCAGATGGCAGGCCACCTGTTGAGGGGTGGCTGTGAATCAGCGGCTCCTGCCCAGCGGCCTCTCTGCCGCCCATGCCGCGCCCCTCCCTCCCTCCCACCTGCCTCCCCACTCCACTCTAGGCCCCCAGGGCATACATTCCAGGCCTGGGACTCTCAGAGAAAGGGGAGACACTGAGGCTGGTTCCCTTGAGAGCCTGGTTCTCTGGGCTGGGGGAGGGAGAGGTCCCTAGCAGCCAGGCAAGGGGCTTTGTCCACCTTCTAACAGGACTCTGAGAGGGGCTGTGGCTAAGCTGTCCCTGAGTCTCCTGACACTCCTGCCCCACCACTGCCCCCCGAGGGGGTCATTTCCCCAAGTCTTTGGGCAGTTAAAAGATTTTGGAATTCTAATAATTGGAATATTATTGGGAAAAAAACCACGAAGCAGTATATATTCATGGTTCAAGGTAGAAACTTTTGAAAATACCCATAAGCAAACCCCCCCCGAAACCCACCATCTGTAGCCCCTGGTGTCAGGTGTGTCTGCTGCTCTGGTCTCTTTTCCGTGTACACATGTGTAATTTTTTTTCCTCTTATTTTACTTTCCCAGTATGGCATTCATCACCTTCTCAGTCCATACCGATGTGGCCAGAGCATGATTTTTAAAATTTTTCATAGTATCATTTTGGATGGCTACCTCTTTATACAGGGCTCAGTCCCTTATCCAGAGTTCTAAAATCGCAAAAGCTGGAAAAACCAAGGTTTTCTGTAACTCATTTGGCCACAAAAACCTGCCTTGAGCTGACATGAGAGTATTTATAGCCTCCACGGCTCCCCCTTGGCATGAAGATTCATGTATTTTGCTACAGAAATCTTAGCAAGGTTGGTTAAGGGTGCTGCGCAGACCCCACTGAGGTACATGGTCATATTGGGCATAGGCAGCATTTTGTGTGTCTGGAATCCACAAAATTCCGAATTCTGGAGCTCCTCTGCTGGATGTACTAGACTTTAACTGAGTTGGATGTGATCAAATGTAGCTTACATTTGCTGGATGTAACACTCTGCGGGTGTTTTGTGCTTAATACTCATGTCAGCAGGGAGAGATAAAACACTGGTGTTGTATGCAGCTCGCAGATGGAGACACGGAGGCTCAGGGAGCTCCCCCATCCAGACTGAACCCAGATCCTTGGCTGCCAAGTTCTAGCACACACTGCCTCCCTGCCTCGCGCCCTGCTCTTTCCTGATGTGATTTGAGACGGCACCACTATCAGTGTTTTTCAAACTATGGGTCATGAGCCGCCTGTATGAGAATCCCGGGATGGTCATTAAAACAATGCAGATGCCCAGGCCCCGCCCGGCTGGCGACCCAGATCCTAGGGAGGGCCACAGGCAGCAGCGTGCCAGACGGGCTCAGGTGGTGCCGGGACTCGTCAGGTTTGAGCCTGTCTGGGTCCCAGGGACTGGGGGGAGGAGAAATGCTGCCCAACTCCGAGTGGACATGTGCTAGCGGGGTCCCGGGGGCTCAGCTTTGCCTCTATCCCCTGCTACCAGGGACAGGGCAACCCTGGCTGCCAGCTCAGGAACCTTGTGTCTCTGGGGCATCCCAAGGCTACCGGGCACACCCTGTTGGTCTCGGAGCCATGGCTGGGAATGGGCTCTCCAGACCGAAGCTGTTAACCTTGGTTACCATTGAGGGAGTCACAGCTCCATTCAGAAGTTACCTTCCCTGTCTGCTCCTTTCTCAGGACGTGACCTTCCTGTAAATTTCAGCACAAAATTCCCATGTGAGCGCCGCCATTCCCTGCCCCTCTGCTTCTTCTCAAAAGAATGGTTGTGTCATTTATCTTAATCCAGCCTGCCTGTCTTCCCTCCTTGCCTTCTTTTTTCTAGGAATAAATCCTTCTTTCCTCCCACTGTCTATTTTTCTATTTATCCATCCATCCACTCTTCCTTTCTCCTACCATCCATCCATCCATGTATCCATCCGTGTATCCACTGATCCATCCCTGTATCCACCCATCCATCATGGCACCCAGTGAGTACCCAATAAATCATAATTGAATGAATGAATGAAGTTTCTCCAACCAATTTACCCAGTAACCTTATGAAAGAAGGAAACAAGATTCATCTGGAACAAGTGGTTCTGGCTGAATGAGTTCCTCACACCCCTCCTCATTCATTCATTCATTATTCCTTCTGTCAGCAAATGTTTATTGCGTGCCCCTAGGTGCCAGGCATTATACCAGGTTCTAGTGCTGGAGATACAGTGTTGAGCAAAACCAGATGTCCGGCCCTTACCCTTGTGGAACTTGCAAATCTTGGGGGGAGACAGATGTTAATCGAATAACCACACTCATGAATTCATAATTGCAAACAGCAATAAGTGCCCAGAAGGAGAAGAAATCACCCAGCATATCCCAGAGGTTCCCGAGCCAGGCCTGGTGGGGGCAGGGAAGGCTCCTGTGGGGCTTGGGTCCTCATGCAGGAGTCAAAGGATGAGCCAATAGCCGCCAGGAAAGTCAGGTGGCTCGAGAGAGGGAACCAAATAAAGGGACCTGGTTACAAAGGTGGGAATGTAGTTGAAAGAGCAAGTAGGGGAGATTTGGAATGGCAGGAAGCTGTTGTCACCTTCAGGCTGGAGGGACAGAGAGGAGACAGTTACTGGAGCTGCTGCTGGAGCCACAGAAGAGATACAGCCATTCTAGAGACAGTGCCTGAAGAGGGAGGGGAGGATGGAGAAGTGGAGAGGGATAGATGTAGAGGGAGAGGTTGGGGGGAGAGGTGCAGAGGGGAAGGGAGGAAGGGAGAGGGGAAGAGAGAGGAAGAAATGGCTTCCCCCTCCTCCCACCCTTGGGTCTCCCTCCAGTGCCTCCACTGGCTGAACCAAACGGGGAGGCTGAAGGCAGGGGAAGCTGCGGCTTGTTGTTTGTAGGGTTGGCCTGCAGAGCGGGAGGAGAGTGAGGAATGGCTTACATCTGGCACAGCAGGAATTAAATAGGCACAGAGGGGAGGGCATCAAGTTCCTGTCAGCCAAAACAGCATGTGCAAAGGCCCTGTGTGATGCAGAGTGCACAGGCCTCTTAGGAAGGCCAAGGCACCAGGAGGGCATGAGAGGCCTAGAGGTCTTGGGGTCTCCTGGAGCCCTGGGCAGGGCCAGAAACAGGGAGCTCCATCTTCCACCTGAGAGCTGTGAAGCCTGAGGATTTTAAGCAAGATGGAGACCACCACCAGATTTGCACTTTGGAACAGATCATGCTGGCCCCTGGGTGGAGAGCACCTGTGAGACATCCCCAGAGGGGGAGCGGGCAGGAGGCCATGGCTGCCCCTCCAATCCCACCCACAACTCCCAGCTTCTGCCTCAGGCCCGGCACCCCACCCCGACCCGGTCTCCCCACCCTCTGGCCCAGCACACCCACAGCAGGAGAGCTCCACCTTCTTATAATGATGCGGCTGCTTCCTTGATCTGCTGCTTCCCCCAGATGAAGTCCCCTGCTCAGCCTGCCTCGTCCACCCTCGCACCCTCTGCTAAGCCCCCCAACTGCCCGTGGCCTGGGCGAGGGTGCCCGCCACCAAGGCACCTGTTCACGGCTGTTTTTTGCTTCTCCAGTGGCTCAGCTTTCAGATCTGATAAATACTGATGGCCGAGCAGGGTCGAGGGTAGCCCCGCTGGGAGATAGTCTTTCTGCAAGGCACTTCAGGGTGCCCGGCCAGGGTTGCAATGGGACACTGGGGCCTCACTTCCAGCCTCCTGGCCTGCCCCCACCCCACCCCTAGCCCAGTCCACTTGGGGGCAAGCCTGGAGCCCGGGAAGCCACCCAGAGCATCAGACTTGCTCTGTTCTCTCTGAAAGCTGGAGCTAGTCATCTTGTGAGCTGACCTTTGGGGTCTTGAGGAAGAGACGGGTCAGGAAGAATTTCTTGAACA